CTGTGGGGACTCCACATGGATTTTGAGCAACATCAGGTGAGGTTACCAGAACCCAAGAGGATGAAGGCTAAGTACTTGCTAGGTGAGCCCGCCCTGCAAAGGGGATGTAAGGACGTCCCGTCACCTCCCGTCTTTGTACTGCCTTCTCAAAGGAAATCTTCAAGGGCAGGGTAGGAAAGAAGTTAAGGGCAAGTCTCAGACTCTTCTCAAAGTTGAAGCTGACGACCCTCATGAGGAATCCCTAAGGTAAGAGGGAATAGTATGTATAGTTTGTCTTGGGCTTGGCTTCAAAAGTAATAACACAATGTTCCGAATAATTTGCTGCTGCGAAATATTCGAAATATTAAAATCTACGGTTTTGGTGCGCGCCGGCCTGCAAACAATATTTCGAATATTTTCCTTGAGCGAGGTGGTTGGGATATTGAGCTCTAGCTTCTGTCGCGCCACTGGGGGCGACCGGGCCGGGATTTTAATATTCAGACTATTCCTAATATTCCAAATATTGAAATATTAAATCCAGCCTCGGACCGCCGAGAGGGCGGTTTGAATATTCAAAATATTCCAAATATTAAATTCCGACCCTGTGCACGCTCCGGCTCGGAATTTAATATGTCAAAAATTTGGAATATTAGGAATGTTTGGAATATTAAACTCCTAGGTCCTCGCCTATCCACTAATGGGGGCGACCAGGCCGGGATTTTAAAATTCAGAATATTCCTAATATTCCAAATATTGAAATATTAAATCCCCAGCCTCGGACCGCCCAGAGGGCGATTTTATAATATTCGGAATATTCCAAATATTCGAAATATTAAATTCCCTCCCTGTGCACGCTCCGGCTCGGATTTTAATATTTCAAATATTTGGAATATTAGGAATATTTGGAATATTAAAATCCTGGGTCCTGGCCTATCCACCAATGGGGACCAGGCCGGGATTTTAATATTCAGAATATTCCTAATATTCCAAATATTGAAATATTAAATCCCCAGCCTCGGACCGCCCAGAGGGCGATTTTAATATTCGGAATATTCCAAATATTCGAAATATTAAATTCCCTCCCTGTGCACGCTCCGGCTCGGATTTTAATATTTCGAATATTTGGAATATTAGGAATATTTGGAATATTAAAATCCTGGGTCCTGGCCGATCCACCAATGGGGACCAGGCCGGGATTTTAAAATTCAGAATATTCCTAATATTCCAAATATTGAAATATTAAATCCCCAGCCTCGGACCGCCCAGAGGGCGATTTTATAATATTCGGAATATTCCAAATATTCGAAATATTAAATTCCCTCCCTGTGCACGCACCGGCTCGGATTTTAATATTTCGAATATTTGGAATATTAGGAATATTAAAATCCTGGGTCCTGGCCTATCCACCAATGGGGGCGACCAGGCCGGGATTTTAATATTCAGAATATTCCTAATATTCCAAATATTGAAATATTAAATCCCCAGCCTCGGACCGCCCAGAGGGCGATTTTAATACTCGGAATATTCCAAATATTCGAAATATTAAATTCCCTCCCTGTGCACGCTCCGGCTCGGATTTTAATATTTCGAATATTTGGAATATTAGGAATATTATAATCCTGGGTCCTGGCCTATCCGCCTATCCACCAATGGGGGCGACCAGGCCGGGATTTTAATATTCAGAATATTCCTAATATTTCAAGTAATCAAATATTAAATCCCCAGCTTCGGACCGCCCAGAGGGCGATTTTAAGATTCAGAATATTCCAAATAATCGAAATATTAAATTCCGGCCCTGTGCACGCTCCGGCTCGGAATTGCATATTTCGAACATTTGGAATATTAGGAATGTTTGGAATATTAAAATCCCAGGTCCTAACCTTTCCACCAATGGGTGCGACCAGGCCGGGATTTCAATATTCAAAATTATTCCGAATACTAATATTCCAAATATTGAAATATTAAATCCCCAGCCTCGGACCGCCCAGAAGGCGATTTTAATATTCAGAATAGGCCCAATATTCGAAATATTAAATTCCAGCCCTGTGCACGCACCGGCTCGGATTTTAATATTTCGAATATTTGGAATATTAGGAATATTAAAATCCTGGGTCCTGGCCTATCCACCAATGGGGGCGACCAGGCCGGGATTTTAATATTCAGAATATTCCTAATATTCCAAATATTGAAATATTAAATCCCCAGCCTCGGACCGCCCACAAGGCGACTTTAATATTCAGTATATTCCGAAAATTCGAAATATTAAATTCCGGCCTTGTGCACACTCCGGCTCGGAATTTAATGTGTCGAATATTTGGAATATTAGGAATGTTTGGAATATTAAAATCCCAGGTCCTAACCTATCCACCAATGGGGGCGACCAGGTCGGATTGTAATATTCAGAATAATCCCAATATTCCAAATACTACTATTCCAAATACTGAAATATTAAATCCCCAGCCTCTGTTCGCCCAGAGGGCGATTTTAATATTCGGAATATTACAAATATTCGAAATATTACATTCCGGCCCTGCGCACGCTCCGGCTCGGAATTTAATGTGTCGAATATTTGGAATATTAGGAATGTTTCGAATATTAATATTTCAATATGTGGAATATTAGGAATATTCTGAATATTAACATCCCGGCCTGGTCGCCTCCATTGGTGGATAGGCCAGGACCTGGGATTTTAAATCCCCAGCCTCGGACCGCCCAGAGGGCGATTTTAAGATTCAGAATATTCCAAATATTCGAAATATTAAATTCCGGCCCTGTGCACGCTCCGGCTCGGAATTGCATATTTCGAACATTTGGAATATTAGGAATGTTTGGAATATTAAAATCCCAGGTCCTGGCCTTTTCAACAAACCTCGGAGCGCTTTCCTGGTTTCCACCCAATGCATTCTGCATTTTAACGTTCCGAGATTTACAAAATTAGAAAAAATCGGAATATGCATATCCAGGTTCTATAGCCTACCCCCTTTTGCTTTCCGAAACTCTCGCCGATTTTTCCCAGAAATTTTCAACACCCAAATACATTTGGCATCCGCCGTTCTTCAACCTCCACTATTGCACTCCACTATTGCCTTCGGGCGAAATTCGAAACTCTCACCGATTTTTTCGCGGACGTTTGGAACCACAGGAAACATTCGATATCAGATTTCAACCTCGACCATTTGCTTTCGGGCGAATTCCGAAACTTTTTGCAAAAATATTAAACACCAGAAAACACTAGATAATTGTTTTTAACCTCCCGTGTTTGCCTTCGGGCGATTTCCGCAACTCTCGCCGACTCCATGTAGAAATCCTAAACCACCGAAAACATTGGATACCAGTTCTTCAGTTTCCACCATTTGCAGAAATTCTAACTCTCAACCCTTCTTCGATTTGCTGGGGAAACCACAAGTTGAGAAGCGCAGTATATGAACAGTTCCAGAGGCTTCGTCGTGTCACTGCATACATGCGCGCCGAACCGTCGTGAACGTGGATTCACGCCACCGCAAAAGAGCTCAACGCGTAGCGTAGCTGGGAACATGTAATTAGTCAGCAGACAGCGTTGCAATCGCGAACGCAAACAGCTCCTTGACGGCGAAGCAGCTTAACATGTAGTGTGTCTTCAAGAGATTGCCGTATGCAGCGTGTATTGTGCAATGTTCGGCAAGTGCGAATGGCAACATGCCGTGTACGTGCGAAAAATGCAAGAACAAACCTTCGAAGTGCAACGTGGCTCCTGACATGCAACATGAAGTGCAGCGGGCTTCCATGACATGCATGAAAACAAGGGCATGACGCAACCTCATGCACACAGAGCTGCCGCACGAGATGTGCGTCATGGTATCCGTGCCTCAACGGACATCGCGTAACTGATGCCATTATGGCGATTTCTTGCCAGAGAGTTAGATTTGTTCCTTGTGTTTGCTTTCTTACGTCTTACGTTCCAATGGAACATAACATGTTCAGTAGCAGTGCGCAAAAGTACAGAACTCAGCGTCGCTTTCTGTACAATCTTGCCTCACACGGGTACGTGGTCATCTGGCTCATGGAGACATTCACGCATCAGGTGAACGTCCTCGCTTGTTGCATTTGGTTACGGTTAGAGTGACTGACAACCAATGTTTGTGCAGTAAAGATTAAAGCCGCCTTCTCCAATAAATTAGAGGCTGACAATTTTCCATTGAGCCAGAGGGCTCGCCAGTGCAGCAGCTCCGCGCTAACGGCACAGACGCATCGACACGGCTGTTAATCTTCACTGACCCTCCGCATGTGTGACAGTTCGGTCGCCGCTGACGGGCCACCGAGACTGTTGCTTTGCGCGTGCGAAAATGTTTGACAGTTGGCCTCTTTGGAATGAGGGCTGGCGAGTCATCATCGTCATTGGCGGTTGACAGTTGTGCTACGCGCAATTCTTGGAATGTCCGGTTTCTTATAAGTGTTTGCGATACTTAAGCGAAAATATAATGGCTTAGCAACATCATATAAGTCTGTGTTAAGTATGTACTAACTACTGTGTATTAAGTCTGTGCTATGCATATATATCTGTTATATGTTTTAACATATCTTGGTCATATGATTAGCTTTTTTTGTGTAATCAACATAATCATGTTAACTTCCACAAAAAAGTTATATACGTTAGGTAATAAGTTAGGCTATGTATACGACAATTTTTTGTTGTTTCCTAACAAAAAATACAGGGCATGGCAAGCAAGCATCTCGGTCCCTTATGTTTGTTCAGTGCAGGGGAGATTAATTATGGAAAAATCAATTGTCTAGCTAAATTTCTCACTGGTGCATATTTGTTTCTGTGGCCAGGAGACGATGCGAGAGCCAATTTTGTGTGTGTGTGTGTGTTTTTCTTGCTACATACATGCTTGACATAAATCGGAAAGCTTTTTTTGCCATGCCTCTACCTGACATCATGCAAATCATGAACATACCCGGATTCACATGCATGGCTCTAGCTTCGCCAGTGTGGCTGTCCATCTCGCATTTCTTGAAGGTCTGCCATTTCAGCAGTGTGAGCCATGGTCACCATCTCGCACATGGTGACACTCCAATACAAGGAGGAGAAGGCCATCATCGTGCCCATCGAGCTGATCATTCAGTATGAGGAGCATCAGTACATCCAGCTGAGGCCCACGAACCATGCGATCTGCCAGCTCGTTTGCGGAAGCAACATTCCGAAGAATGCATCCATATCAGCATGCACAAAGTTGCAGGATATCATTCAGAAGAGAAACCAAGCCATGCAGTCGGATGAAGCATCGGAGCAAAAGGACGATCTCTTTCCATCCAGCGATGAGCCCCCATCGAAGAAGAAGAAAGGCCTGAAGATTCTGCCGCCCACCGTGAACATCACGGTGCCTCGTCCATGGTCGCCGACCATCCGCATCGGACAGTTGCATTCGTCTGGATGCTACCCAGATCGGCGCCATCGTGGACTTCATCCGGGAGGATGCCATCGAAGCCATGCAGCAGTCCAAGAGGAAGTACGTGAAGAAGGTCAGGAAGTGATCGCATAGTTTCCATGACACGGACTTCATGCCGGCCTCTCGGGAAAAAGAATGCTAACCGTGCCAATGCATGCCCATGACTTCATGTGCAACATGACATGCAAAGGCTAGTTCCCCATGCACCTTGATCCCTGCGATGTTGTTTCCTTGTGGCCATAACGGGAAGCCCATCCATTCCCAACATGGCGGTGCCGCAAAGCATTGTCTTCGAAGTACAGGCGATAATGGAGGGGGACATGCCATTAAACAGCAAGACCGAAGCCATTTTGGCAGTTTTGGAACATGCCGGGCTTGCATCGAAGCAGCGACTGCTGCCACGGCATCCGCTCATCCATCCGGTCAATCGCTCCCAGTCCATGCTGTCATATCACGACGTGTGGTCGAAAGGACAGGCCATGTCCCTGGTAGGCTTCAATGTGAAGGTGGTGGAAGGCACCACCATCGCATTCGCCATCAGCACAGAGCCAGAGAAGAGAGCCATGCAGCTGGCCAAGAACAAGGCATTGATCGAGAATGCCAAGGGGCATTTGGCGCCCATGACTGGTTCAGAAGGTAGGCCCTATATCCATCAAACCTCATGTCAGGAATCTATATAATATATAACCCTTTAACCCTACATACGGATTTAGAGTTAATCATATCTGCAAAAATATCTTTGCTTTTCTTGCAGGCTTCTTGACCATCGGGGGCAGCTATACAGTTGCATATCTTCGCTGCATCGAAAACGGTGTGGCCGGGCCATCGGCGGAGTCAAGCACCCATCCGAAATCGGATGCTATCTGGCGAGCCATCTCCGATGGCTGGACATGGGTGACCACTTCCAGCGCTGTGGAGGATGCCATACCCATTTTGCCATCATTTTCTCCAATCATCCTTGAACTCTGCGAACAGCATCAAGACGAGCATCTCGGAGCTGGAGGTTGCCATGCTCTTGGCAACATGCTTTGGCAAAGGCATGACATTGGCACAGGCCGTGAAGCATGCAGAGGCTGCCGATGTAAGGTGTCGACCATCCATTTCGGCCATAGCTACATTTGTCCAGAAGTTCTCGGGCCACGCGGGGACATTCCCCATCCTCCATTTCTTGTCGAACTTCAGCAAGGTCCATTCTTCCAGCATGCTCCTGGGGGAGGACATGATGACACAGATTGCAACCATGGACTTCAAGTCATCCACGAACATGTATCCAATGACCCGAGCCGCCATCTGGTTGACCCTTTTCGCATGCCCGAAGAGTCATGAGAGGCATGGTTTTGCTCGGAACCTCATTCGCTCAGACATTGAGCGATTGAGGCAGGCAGCATGCCTGCCCATGACAACCAAAGCGGGGCAAATGCTCCAGGATGCATGGGGCGTCCATCAATTCATCCATGAAGGCCAAGGCAAGCACATTGACGGCCATCACGTGGACAATTGCTTTGGGCCTGTGCATAAGGACCATCTTGCATTTATGCAACAAGGCGAAGACTGGCAGCAAGGAGTGCAAGGAGTTTGCATCTTTGGAGGCCATTGTCGAGGCATTCTCGACAGAGCTCTCCAAGGATTCCCCTGCATCGGGTGCAGAGGCATCGAAGAGCGATGAGAAGCCCATGGTGGACGTTCTGTCGGCGAAGCCGCATGTTGTGGCATTGCTGCAGAATGCCCACATGACCATGGGCAGCCACTCGATGGGTTTTGATTGCTTTCATTTGTTATACATTTTTGTTGCTGTTCATGGTTGTGCTTTGAGGTACACGAACAGCAAAGAAGATGGCTCCATGGCTTCCATTCTCCAGAGTGTCAGTGACGATGGGGCATGCATGCGGCACACCCCATTCTTCGGCGACAGCATCGACATCAGTGTCCCACTGGAGTCATTGAAAAATACAGGGCATGGCAAGCAAGCATCTCGGTCCCTTATGTTTGTTCAGTGCAGGGGAGATTAATTATGGAAAAATCAATTGTCTAGCTAAATTTCTCACTGGTGCATATTTGTTTCTGTGGCCAGGAGACGATGCGAGAGCCAATTTTGTGTGTGTTTTTTCTTGCTACATACATGCTTGACATAAATCGGAAAGTTTTTTTGCCATGCCTCTACATGACATCATGCAAATCATGAACATACCCGGATTCACATGCATGGCTCTAGCTTCGTCAGTGTGGCCGTCCATCTCGCATTTCTTGAAGGTCTGCCATTTCAGCAGTGTGAGCCATGGTCACCATCTCGCACATGGTGACACTCCAATACAAGGAGGAGAAGGCCATCATCGTGCCCACCGAGCTGATCATTCAGTATGAGGAGCATCAGTACATCCAGCTGAGGCCCACGAACCATGCGATCTGCCAGCTCGTTTGTGGAAGCAACATTCCGAAGAATGCATCCATATCAGCATGCACAAAGTTGCAGGATATCATTCAGAAGAGAAACCAAGCCATGCAGTCGGATGAAGCATCAGAGCAAAAGGACGATCTCTTTCCATCCAGCGATGAGCCCCCATCGAAGAAGAAGAAAGGCCTGAAGATTCTGCCACCCACCGTGAACATCACGGTGCCTCGTCCATGGTCGCCGACCATCCGCATCGGACCTTTGCATTCGCCTGGATGCTACCCAGATCGGCGCCATCGTGGACTTCATCCGGGAGGATGCCATCGAAGCCATGCAGCAGTCCAAGAGGAAGTACGTGAAGAAGGTCAGGAAGTGATCGCATAGTTTCCATGACACGGACTTCATGCCGGCCTCTGAGGAAAAAGAATGCTAACCGTGCCAATGCATGCCCATGACTTCATGTGCAACATGACATGCAAAGGCTAGTTCCCCATGCGCCTTGATCCCTGCGATGTTGTTTCCTTGTGGCCATAACGGGAAGCCCATCCATTCCCAGCATGGCGGTGCCGCAGAGCATTCTCTTCGAAGCACAGGCGATAATGGAGGGGGACATGCCATTAAACAGCAAGACCGAAGCCATTTTGGCAGTTTTGGAACATGCCGGGCTTGCATCGAAGCAGCGACTGCTGCCACGGCATCCGCTCATCCATCCGGTCAATCGCTCCCAGTCCATGCTGTCATATCACGACGTGTGGTCGAAAGGACAGGCCATGTCCCTGGTAGGCTTCAATGTGAAGGTGGTGGAAGGCACCACCATCGCATTCGCCATCAGCACAGAGCCAGAGAAGAGAGCCATGCAGCTGGCCAAGAACAAGGCATTGATCGAGAATGCCAAGGGGCATTTGGCGCCCATGACTGGTTCAGAAGGTAGGCCCTATATCCATCAAACCTCATGTCAGGAATCTATATAATATATAACCCTTTAACCCTACATACGGATTTAGAGTTAATCATATCTGCAAAAATATCTTTGCTTTTCTTGCAGGCTTCTTGACCATCGGGGGCAGCCATACAGTTGCATATCTTCGCTGCATCGAAAACGGTGTGGCCGGGCCATCGGCGGAGTCAAGCACCCATCCGAAATCGGATGCTATCTGGCGAGCCATCTCCGATGGCTGGACATGGGTGACCACTTCCAGCGCTGTGGAGGATGCCATACCCATTTTGCCATCATTTTCTCCAATCATCCTTGAACTCTGCGAACAGCATCAAGACGAGCATCTCGGAGCTGGAGGTTGCCATGCTCTTGGCAACATGCTTTGGCAAAGGCATGACATTGGCACAGGCCGTGAAGCATGCAGAGGCTGCCGATGTAAGGTGTCGATCATCCATTTCGGCCATAGCTACACTTGTCCAGAAGTTCTCGTGCCACGCGGGGACATTCCCCATCCTCCATTTCTTGTTGAACTTCAGCAAGGTCCATTCTTCCAGCATGCTCCTGGGGGAGGACATGATGACACAGATTGCAACCATGGACTTCAAGTCATCCACGAACATGTATCCAATGACCCGAGCCGCCATCTGGTTGACCCTTTTCGCATGCCCGAAGAGTCATGAGAGGGATGGTTTTGCTCGGAACCTCATTCGCTCAGACATTGAGCGATTGAGGCAGGCAGCATGCCTGCCCATGACAACCAAAGCGGGGCAAATGCTCCAGGATGCATGGGGCGTCCATCAATTCATCCATGAAGGCCAAGGCAAGCACATTGACGGCCATCACGTGGACAATTGCTTTGGGCCTGTGCATAAGGACCATCTTGCATTTATGCAACAAGGCGAAGACTGGCAGCAAGGAGTGCAAGGAGTTTGCATCTTTGGAGGCCATTGTCGAGGCATTCTCGACAGAGCTCTCCAAGGATTCCCCTGCATCGGGTGCAGAGTGGAGGAACACTAAAACACCCATGCCGAAGTTGCATGTGGTGCACAAGAAGCATTCGTCGACCAGTTCCCTTGCATTCGGGCAGTTCCCCCCAGCTTGATGACCATGGTCGCATGCAAGAAGAAAGCAGGCATCAAGCTGACCCCCGTGGGCAACATCTCCAAGCATAAAGCAGAAGGAGCACCAAAGGGCACAGCCTTGGAGGCATTTGGGTCTCATTGGGTCGTTTCCCCACCGAAGCAGAACATATTGTTCGAGGATGAGAAGCATCCGTTGGTGCCATACTTTTGGGTGAGAGCATGTGCATCGGATGCCCAGCCGAACATGTCATTTTCCACCATCGTGCAGGATGGGGTCACGGTGCCCATGCTCTACAATGAGGAGCCCATCGACAAGCATGAAGTGTTGCTCCACCCACCCATGGAGGAGACCGTGGAGGAGCCACCCAAGAAGGCCAAGGCAAAGGCCAAGGCCAATTGGTTCATGCCATGAGGCATTTGCATCCATCGATTTCATGCAGAGAGCGCAAAAAGAAAAGAGACTGCATTCTTTTTTTGACGGTTTCCGTTTCCAGTAAATTGGGTTTTGGAAGGGTTGTTCCAGGGTATATATGGGTTGGGGTTTAGGGTCTTCGGGTCTAGATTTTCGGGCTAGGGCTTATGGGGTTTATGGGGTTTGCGGATTATCTATATATAGGTAAGAGGGGTGGTTTATAGGTTACTTCAAGGGTCAGTGTTTTGGGGTTCGTGGGCTTCGGGTCAAAGCTTAAGGATTTTTTTAGGGTGTAGTGCATTTTCGAGATAGGCTTGTAAATATGTTTCTAAATATGGTGTGTATGTATATATATATATATATATATATATACCATGTGCATACAGGGGGGGGCGGGTCGGCGCATAAACGGGCTCGAAGTCAGGAGAGAATCGAAGAACATTCATTATATAGAAAATTAAACATGTTTCTGTATGTATGAGTTTATAAATGTATGTTTCTAAATTGCCACATTGTGGCTGTTGCCTGCTCATGGCCATTGTAGATATGGCAGTCATGCACGATGCCATGTAGTGGCCATGTCATGCACGATGCCATGTAGTGGCCATGTTATCTTGTTGAAAAGCCAAATACATGGCTATCGCCATATTATGGCAGTTTCTCTGCACATGGCCAATTTATGGCTGTTCTACATGCACATGGCCATGATGGCTGTTCCATGCACATGGCCATTATATGGCTGTTCGCCTTGTGGCTGTTCCATGCTATCCCATGCACATGGCCGTGTTGTGGCCGTTCCTTGTTCCATGCATGCATTTCTGACTGACAGTTACATGTTCTGCATGTTGCAAGGGAATGCACATCTTCAGCTGAGTTTTGCGAGTGGCCATTGCAAGTCAAGCCGTTAGCTATATATAGCCATCCCATCCCGAAGCCATGCACCATCCATGTGTGAGCAACGGTTGCCATCGCCGGTGCAGTGATGCCCACAGGCATTGTTGCAGCTTGTGCCCATTCGGGCACAAGAAAAGCTGCGACAGGCGCAGACATCCAATGCATCATCAATGGAGACATCGCCGCCGGCACCGCCAGCACGTCCCAGCACCATGCCGCCACCATCTTCGAGCAGCCATCCACCGCCATCTCAGAGCACATTGCCTCCGGAACGCATGCCGGTGGCATGGTTGCCATCGTGGCATGCCCATGCATTGCAGACACATGAGGACATCGGAGCCATGTGGGGGCGATGGCATGCATCAGACGAGATTGGAGGCATATGGCGCCATTGGTTGGACAAGCAGTTCATAGCGGTCCATCCCGACATGGGCAACATTCCGGGCAACGATGACGTCAGAGCTTTCGTAGCCATGCTCAATGGAAGCATGTGATGTCTTTAGAACAGCATTTGTGCCATGTGCTTTCGGTGAAAAAGAAGGTCGCTGGGTGGGAAGAAGCAGCACGTGAGTTACAGTTTCTGTGCATGAGTGCCCAAATATGCATATGTATTGCATGGAAAGAGTTATTTATCATGTGGCTTCTATATCACCAACCTCACATACCCATTTGCATCTTGAGAAACCAACTATACATCCTCACCTCTTCCATGCACATGGCCTTTCGGTGGCTGTCGCATGCACATATAGCAGAGCCCACTTATCATGAGGGTTGTGTTGTACATACATGTTGCTGTATCTATACTGCATGCAGCTGCCATTGCAAGTACAGGCATCCCATCCCATAGCACATCCAGCCGACTGTGGCCATGATTCCAATGTGGATTGCCAACATCGAGCGAAGCCCTCATTTGCAGCCACCCCGTGTGCCAGCATCACGGGCGACCATGACACCAGGTCTGCAACCCGCACCGGGTTTGCCATCCCCATCGGGCGAAGCATCATCGGCAGCTGGACCATCGGGCGAAGCATCATCGGATTACCATCGGGCGAAGCATCATCAGCATCGGGCTGGGCATCATCGGCACCCATGCGGGGGGTCGCGGTGGTGCCAACATTGCCTTTCTCATGGAGTCCCCATTACAATTCGGGCAGTCATCGAACCAGGACATTCATCATCCATTGCCATGAGACCATGGGCGAAATGAGACGTCCAAAATTCAAGACATGGCTCCGCAGCTCATGGCTGTGCATCCAGACGTAGCAGACCATGGCAATTCGCCCAGCATCATCAGTGCCAGACAGATGAGGGCATTCATCGGCATGGTCATTCGCGAGATGGGAGTGTACTAGTCATGGCAGTGGCGGGTGTGAAAAACAGGCAGCATCGGTGCCTTTGGGGGTTCAGGTTTTTTTTAAGGGGTTGGGGGTTTGGGGGTTGGTATATAGGGTGGGTGGTTTCTCAGCTATATGTATATTAAGGGATTGAGATACTGGGTTTAAGTTGTGATGTGTAGATATGTATATATATATATATATATATACACATATACACACACACAAATTAGTCAGTACATGTGTCCTCATGCAAGTTGAGTTAGATTCCTTTTGTGCATAGCATTTTGTGCATGCAGTTATATGTATATGTATACACACACATGTACTACTCGGAAGCCTTGTGGCCATCCCATATAAAGAAGCCATTTGGCCGAAAGCCCCCAACACATCCACAACAATTCCGAAAGCCTTCTGGCCATCCCATATATAAAGAAGCCATTTGGCCGAAAGCCCCCAACACATCGACAAGAAAACCTTAAAGCCTTCTGGCCATCCCATATACATAGCCATTTGGCCGAGAGCCCCCAACACATCCACAAGAAAACCGAAAGCCTTGTGGCCATCCCATATATAGAGAAGCCAAGCCTCCAACACATCCAGAACAAAACTGAAAACATGTTTTGTTGGTGTGCCTGGTGGCCATCTGTCGCAGTAGGAGCAGGACACTCATGTGCATCAATGTTCTGCATGGGCAGCCCTTTTGGCCATCCAGCCATATACAGCATCCCGCCTTCCATCCTCATCCTGTCTGCATCATGGACAACATGTCGGCCATGATTGAGGCCGGAGAAGACTGAAAACATAAAAACAAACATTGAAATAACGAAACCCTTGCCCTGCAGGAGACCCGCGCCATCCAGTTGGAGGCCATGGACGAGGATTGGAACGTGACGGAGGCTTTTTCTTATAGTTTTAAAAACCATGTAAACCGTAAAGCCTTAAACCCTATAAACCCTATAGAAACCCTCAAGCAGAAACCCTAAACATAAATAGAAAATATAGGTACACATATATGCATATATATATATACATATACATATAGTGTGTATATATATATTTATTTACTTACATGAATATACATGTATATACATATACTTATATTTATATGTATATAAATATATATATATATACATATCAACATACTAATGTATATATGGATGTATATAAACCCCTGACAGGGCACCGCCACCGAGGCGACCCATCCCACCACGGAGCCGACCCATCCCACGACGGAGGGGACCCATGCCATGACCCATCCCACGACGGAGGCGACCCATGCCATGACGACCACTGAGCCCGATGAGGCCCTTGGAGAACATACGGAGGAGGATCATGGCAGTGTTTTGGCGCTTTTTATGAAACCCTCGAAAACCTTCATAAACCCTTTAAACCCATAATGTATGTATATATATATATATGCGTAAAAGTATATGTATATATATATGAATATGTATATATGTGTATATGTATACATGTATATGTATATGTATATATACATATATATATATATACATACATACATACACACACATACATACATACATACATACATACATACATCTGCATCCCAGGTTCATGGACCGGGCCGGCCCATGCCTCGTTGGTCAATGATTCCAACGGGGCAATCCCGTGGGCGGTTCAAGCCCTCATGCCGTCGCCATTGACACAGATCTCGGTGACATTTCGCAATTGCCCGACGAGCTGGATGTATCTCCATCGTCTCGAGCAAACTAAACATGTGTCACACGCGGGTGTCCATGGGCCGACTCATTGGTCCATGCTGGGCTGACCATGCGGAACCCAGGAGGGGTGCCCCCATGAGTGAGTCACATAGGTGACCACATGATTGTGCCATAGGCATCATCATCCTCCATGCCACCGCCGCCTGGCATTCATGTCATCATCAGCAGCAGCAGCAGCAGCAGCAGCAGCAGCACCATCAACGGCATCAGCAACAGAAACACCATCTCAAGCCTGTTGGCCATTCTGTTGGCATGGAGGGTGCAATTTCAATAAGAGCACATCTGCAGAGCTTGCAGCTTTCAGGCAGTGCAGGGCGAGAAACAGTGAGGATAAGTCTGCATCTACATAATAGGACATCACAAAGCCCAAGACCCAACCCATGAACCCGAAATTCTGGATTGCAACCCTAGCCTAAAGCCTAAAGCCTCCACATGTGCATGTAGCCAGGGAATGCATGCACTTGCTCATTTTCTACTCGTGGAAGTACACAGCTACACTTATGTATGTGTGTGTGTATCGACAATAGATGTGCGTAGATACATGCACACACGCACACATAAAGACAAATATAAAACATAAATACATACATGCACGGAGACACACACACACATGCAGACTCACACCGAACAAAAACCCGAGCCCCTTGAACACCTGAAGCCTCAACCCCCCAAACCACCAAAACCGGATGCCCATGAAGCCTTGAAGCCCCAATCACATGATGAAGCAGGAGCTCCGGTGCTATTATATACTTGACATAGTATATAGAGAAGCACCCATGCACACACAGCATGCACACGATAGCATGGCAATCGCAGCAGCATAGCCCCATAACGACAAAGCCAGCAGCATCAGCACAGCCTTGCCATCCCAGGCAACAAGGCACCCCAGACAGTCAGAAACAGCCAGTCCCAGGCAAGCCACACAAGGCCACGAAACCCCCAAACCCCAACGCTTGAAACCCAAACCCCACATGTCTGTACATGGCCAACATGGCAGTCATGAAGCACACAGCCAGGCGGCAATGCA